CATCTCAGGTAGTTCTTTATAGCAGTGTGAAAATGAATTAATACACTGGCTATTTGATATTTGAACAAAACCAGGATCTTATAGTCGAAGAAGAGCTGGCTGATGGGCTGTCATCTTTGTTCTGTGCAATTGGCTACCATTTTTTCTTCTAAGAATTGAAGTATTGTCTTGGCTATATAAAGGAAGGAGCTGTTGGGTGTACAGATATGTGCTGTCACTGTGGTTAACTTGGAAGACCATTACCTTGTGTTTGGGTGAATAAAGATATTTTCTTCAATGTACAGCTAGTTTGTGGAGTCAGTGTAAAAAGTTGTAGTAAATCAAGTTCGGCCTGCTATACTTTAGGGTACCTGTGCTGCTCTATTACGGTCAACTGAGCAAAGATAATTTAAAAAATGCTTCTCTATCCATTTCTATCAAAGCTATAAGAAGGAAGACTTTGGCAGTTAGTGTTCTTTTTAACTTGTAATATCATTTTAGATGTTTTCATTCTTTCTATTTTTATTTTGCTGTTTCCCAGAATTGTTCAGTAGACCAGGTACTATGTAAAAAGGAAATGTGTTTGCATTCACCACTGCATGCCCATTGTTATATACACATTTTTATAGAGTTAAGGCCCAACAAATATTTGGTGAGTAAATGAACATGCCTCTCAGCTCTGATCAGACCAGTCTAGTCACAGACCATACTCATGTGGCAGTTTCTCAACCTAGGAAATAGGAATTTCCGGGTTCCTTCCATTTCTTTAGTCTCTTCTCAGAGTAGCAGCCCAAATAGTTCTTTCAACCCTTATGTGAAATCATATCACTTTTCTGCTCAGAACCTTCCAGTGTTTTCTCATCCAATGCAAAATAAAAGCCATTAACTCAGATTCATCTCTGAGGCTCCGTGATCTGGAATTGTAGCTTTTCTCTGGTCTCATCTCTTACTTTTCTTTCCCTCATTTTCCCCAATCTAAACAGTCATTCTTGCTGTTCCTGAGCACACCAAGTATATTCCTGCTTCACGGCACTTGCTGTCCCCTCTGGGAGACTTTTCCCATAAATGGTCACATAGCTCACTCTCTCCCCTGCTTCACTTCTTTGTCCAAATGCCACCTTACCAAGGAAACTTCTCTAGCTAGCCTATTTGAAACATTCGTCAAAACCTCATCAGCCTGTTTGCTTTCCCTGCTTTGTTTTCCACTTTGTGTTTATCATTTTCATCTGCAGTACTATACATGTGCTTGCTTTTCGGCCTGTTAACATGTCATCTGCAGAGGAGTGCAAGCTTTTTAAAGTCAGGAATTTCAGTCTTCATTATTTATAACCGTCCCTTGACTGCTGGGAACAGTGCTTGGCACAAGGTTGGTACTCATTAAAGAGTTAATGAGTGAAAAATTATCAGCTTCACCTGTAGACTGGGGGTAACAATACCTTGCAATTGTCTTTTTTGCATTAGTGATTATGCATATAAGGTAATTAGCACAGTGCTTAGCACATGGTACTTGCTGAACAAATTATGGCTTTTGTTATTTTTATAATATAGTAAAAACCTAAAATATCTCCTATTTCATCTAATTCCCTGAACATATATGGATAAATTCTCTTAAGTCCAAGGCACCATTTGTATAGATTATAAAGACAGAAAAGGCAAAGCCCTTAGCCTTATAGGAGTAACACACAAACATGTAAACTATTTTTTGTATTGGGTACCTCAAATTCTTGCATGATTCATATTTAAATTTTTTGAGTTCCCAGATACCTCAAGTGCTGATAGGAAGCCTTTTCAACAATAACAAAAATATAAATTCACATGCACATTCCTCCTCTGTAAGAATGCCTTTGAACATCTCTTTCTCTAGGTTATATTCTTGTCTAGAAATTTGAACATCTCTAGAAAAGGTAGAACACAAACTCAGTCTGTTTCAAATCACCACCTTTATGCTTTTTATATCACCCACATTTCTGTATCATGAATATGTACATCTATATATATGTATAGATAGATCTATATATCTTTGCGGTTTCCATATGTAGAAACTTTGTATAGAAAAAACTATTTCAATGTATAGGTCTATGTATAGAAACTTATCTATGTATAGAAACTTTGAGATATAAATCACACACTTTTTTTTTTTTTTTTGAGACGGAGTTTCGCTCTTGTTACCCAGGCTGGAGTGCAATGGTGCGATCTCGGCTCACCGCAACCTCCGCCTCCTGGGTTCAGGCAATTCTCCTGCCTCAGCCTCCTGAGTAGCTGGGATTACAGGCACGTGCCACCATGCCCAGCTAATTTTTAGTATTTTTAGTAGAGATGGGGTTTCACCATGTTGACCAGGATGGTCTTGATCTCTTGACCTCGTGATCCACCCGCCTCGGCCTCCCAAAGTGCTGGGATTACAGGCTTGAGCCACCGCGCCCGGCCGCTAATCACACACTTTCATTATAAGGAAGTATATTAACCCTAAAAAGCAACGTAGAGATAATGTAATGAATGTCATGGTAGTCTATGGTTAGTTTTAACAATAACATTTTGCCATGTTTAATTCAAACATTTTTCCTAGTAAATTGATTATTACAGATATTGTTGAATACTCCTATCTTATTTCCCAGATTCGATTTTCCTCTTTCTCATCAGAGATAATCCTGACTTTGTTGTTTCTAATTACAATGAAATTTTTTTTTTAAGTTTTATAACTAGTAAATCCTGGATGTAAATCACAAATATGTATTGATACAGCTTTAGATTCACAGAATAGAACAAAAGAAACAAAACAAAATATCTCATTTTAAACTCTGGAGGTCTACCTTCTCTTCAAAAATCAGGAGACCTGGTCAGTCCAGGTCTTCATTTCTTCAGAGTTTCTTAGTTTCATCAGATGCCCAGATGAAACTGAGAGATGGTTATCTACTCATCAACAGAATTGCATTTAGTGTCCACTAACTTACTTCTGGGCTGTTTCTTTGATTTATATTTCTTATCAGGGCTTTATAAGTATTCGCATTTGTAACTTGTTCTAAATCTTGTTTTTACTTTTTAAATTTCAAAATTAAAAAAAAAAATTTTTTTTGAGATGTCTCATTCTGTCATCCAGGCTGGAGTGCAAGGTGCCATTTTGGCTCATAGCAGCCTCCGCCCCCTTGGGTTTAAGTGATTCTCCTGCCTCAGCCTCCTGAGTAGCTGGGATTACAGGTACGCAATACTACACCCAGCTAATTTTTGTATTTTTAGTAGAGATAGGGTCTCACCATATTGGCCAGGCTGGTCTTGAAATCTTGATCTCAAGTGACACACCGTCACAGCCTCCCAAAGTGCTAGGATTAAAGGTGTGAGCCACCATTCCCGGCCATTGTTCTCTAAACCTTTAACCCCTTACCAATTTTAAATAAATTATTTCTTTTTTTCTTATCTTCTGGTTCAATTTAATTTTAATTCACTTGGTTGTATGTTTCTGCTTTGGTGACTATTCTTTTGTTGAAGGTGAAAGCAAAATTGGTACTTTCCCTTTTCACATTTCCATGAGTCACCAGTTTACCTACCTTTAAGCAATGGGCCTAATTTTTCATGTTTTTCATGAATCGAATGCAATGAGTAATGTCCTTCATTCCACCCCTCACCCCCCTAACCCCTTAGCATTGTTTTATGAGACTGACATTATTTGGAGTTAGAAACAGCTTACATTCACCTCCTCAACCCTTGAAAGCTTTCTTTTAAATTGTTGAACTAAACCTTTAGGGATTACAATCCCAATCCCAAATCATCTATACTTTGATTTGGTATATATTTTATTCCATTTTTTGTCATTAATAGAAATTCTTAAAACATAAATTATTAACAAATAGAAAAACCCATGGTTTTATATTTCAAGGCCTACATGGAGAAAATCCAATCCAATAATAAAAAATTGTTTTTATACATTTTAATTATTCATCTTAGTTTGAGAATAGTTAGTGATCATTGGGGAAAATATACTACTCTCAATTTACGATAATGCCAGATTATAAATGCCACACTATTTATTGAATACTATGAGGACAAATAAGAAATTGGGAAAATATTCACATACATAATTTTCTAATACATAGTGCCTGCAGTACTTCCTCTCTTCAGTATCAGATTATTCCTAGCAAATTCATCTATTTGGTGCAAACCAAGAAATGACTCTGCTGATTTTATATAAAATCATATACAGGTTATTTTCAGTTTCAGAGTCTAATCTGGAAGTCACCAATTTTCCCATGCCTATTATGGTCATCAGAAATAGTTAACAGTGCACCATGGTATAGTTTTTGCAGTTCCTTAAAAGGAAGTATATTCTTGATCCAGATCCTAGGGTATGTGTGCAACTTTCTAAAGACTTGAAATAGGAAAATGTAATATATTCATTTTCTTTAATATTAGAGTTGTAATTCTTTTTTCATCTAGAATTTTGGTTTTTATTACTCCTTGTTGGATAAAATGGCATCATTTTTCATTAGCTTGTCTTCAAAAGACAGAGAAATAAAATAAATTACCTTAAAGAAATTAAATAGAAAACTAAGGGAACATATACTGAGGTGGTGGTAGACTCTCCTCAGTCCTTTTTTCTTTGAAAAAAGGAGATCTTAATCTTACTAAGAGTCCTTGGTGAAATTTGCAGATGATGTCTCTGTGCTTTTTAATGAGGAACTTGCAGTCATAAATACCTCCTGATGAAGTAGTTTTACCTTCAGTAGTATTCTGAAATTTTTTCTTAAAATTCTATATTTGGAGGAAAAAATACTTTCCTGAAATATAAACTGAAGTATGACTTCTGTCAAGGTTTGAAGACTATCTGGCTTTCTTCTACATGGGAAATTAACATGTTCCAGAATACAGGTCACTCCCAAGAGAGTGTGGGCATGTAGAACTTACAATGCACACTTTGGTAAAGATACGCTGCTTTCGTTATGGTGCTGATTTTGTGGTAGCACAGTAAATGAAAATGTTCAAACAGAATATTCAAACTAAATGTACCCCAAGGAAAGATACACACCAACTTTGTTTTAAAAGAAACAGTGTTTATTAAGAAATTATATGTTGAATTCTCCTACAGTCTGTGAAGATGGTTTCTTCCATTTCCACAGCACAAGACGACAGCTAAGATTATCTGGAAAACACTTGCAATGCTTGGGAATGGAAAGTTCCTCGGAACAGGAGGTGAAATGAAATGATGTATGCACTAATTTAAACTTGGATCCAAGGGCAAGACAGTTTTTTTCCTTGGCATAGTCCTTACTTGTATGAACACTGAAACCTGTCCGTGGAATCTCATACCCAGGCTGAAGTAATAATCGGATCATTTTAGTTCAGAGCGGAGCATGCTCAACTTATCACAGATCAAACCAACAGTTCTTTAACTATTGTATCACATCTGAAATATCTGCATTCTTTATTAATAAAAAGGGTGCTTATACAGGGCAGAAATATAACTTTCTCAAGTATTTTATCATTATGGTCTGAAGTACTTTAAACTATAAATTAAAAATAAATTATAAAAACTAGCATAAGATGCATCTTTTCTTACATGACATTGTTGGAAATAAGCTTTAAATACAGAATTGCAATATCACCGACTTTATATATGATCAACAGTGAAACATGCTAATCATAAAAATAGCTTTTACAAATATACATTTGTATATAGTGTGTCTCCCTTACCATTCATAAATGTCTTCCACATTTTAAGACTAAAAAAAAAACATAATTAGCAAAGGGGAAAACACATTTACAATTCAAACCATAAAAACCTGACAATTGTACAGCTTAGAACATAGAAGAAATGGAATTTCTAAAATTGAGCAGTACTGTCCATTATATTTATTTGGGTTTTTATATAAATTGAACCAAAGATGCTGCTGTCCAGTAAGAAACCTCCTTTCACATTTCTGGTGGTTGTCACAGTTTCTCTTTTCTGCTTTGTGGCATCATACATTATTTCAGATCACTTTATCTGTAGAAACTGAGAAAAGAAAAAAAATACTTTAAAATATAGAGATTTGTGTTTCATTGTTGATAGCATGCATATACTATATGTAAGTTAGATTTTTTAAGGTTAAATCAGGAGAAGAATAAAGGAAGAATTAAATATTTCGGACAAATGCTTTTGATAGTGGGTTCTTAGGTCCTTTGCTCTAGGCAATTTTGTAATTATTTTCATTTATGGAATGTTATGATTTTTTTTAAACCCAGCAAATTTACTGCCTGAGGTCAGCAATTAATTTTTCAACCTGAGCTCTTGTTCAAGTCAAGGGGGAACCACTTAAAGTTCTAGGCTAGGGAAAAAGGTTTGAATTATGAATCTTTGTTGACCCTAACAAGAGTGACCATAGGATACTTACCCCTACTATGAGGCTTTGAACAGTGCAGGCCTAAGTCTTATGCATCTGGGATAGGAGAAAAAGCCAATGCAGGTCTTTGATCTGCACTTCACAATCTGAGTTGCAAAAGAAGTCAGAAACACTGAAAGACTTCATGGTATAACCATGAGTCGAAGCATTATGCTGGAGAGGATGTGGGGGAAATAGGAACACTAAAAGTGTTGGTGGGAGTGTAAATTAGTCCAATCATTGTGGAAGACAGTGTGGTGATTCCTCAGGGATCTAGAACTAGAAATACCATTTGACCCGGCAATCCCATTACTGGGTATATGCCCAAAAGATTATAAACCATTCTATTATAAAGACACATACACATATGTTTATTGCAGCACTGTTCACAATAGCAAAGACTTGGAACCAACCCAAATGCCCATCGATGATAGAATGGATAAAGAAAATGTGGCACAATACCATGGAATACTATGCAGCCATAAAAAATGATGAATTCAGGTCCTTTGCAGGGACATGGATAAAGCTGAAAACTATCATTCTCAGCAAACTGACACAAGAACAGAAAACCAAACATCGCACGTTCTCACTCATAAGTGGGTGTTGAACAGTGAGAACACATGAACACAGGGTGGGGAACATCACACATTGGGGCCTGTCAGGGTATGGGGGGCTAGGGGAGGTATAGCAGGGAGTTGAGGGATAGGAGAGGGACAACATTAGGAGAAATACCTGATGTAGATGACAGGGTGATCAATGCAGCAAACCACCATGGCCCATGTATACGTATGTAACAAACCTGCACGTTCTGCACATGTACCCCAGAACTTAAAGTGTAATACTAAAAAGAGCCCAAATTCAATTGGTTGAAGAACTGGTTGAAATTGAATATGAAGATAAAATAATGCAAGAGTCTATCAGTGAAGAAAATCATTTATCTTAGAATCCTATCAAATTCCAGGGCTTTATATTTAGATAAAAAATATTAGACCTATTGTTATCCCATCAACTTCAAAGGTCTTAGGAGTTAGAAAGTCTGTATATGCCTTAAGAGTCAAATACATGCAAATCAAGGTATCAGTTTGGATGGGACATGTTGATCTTCTATAAGTAGCTGGAGAGTTAGGTAACTTGACTTTATTAAAGCTTTGAAGTCCCTGATACAAAGTTTTATGTATATATATATATATATATATATATATATATATAGTTATAAAAATTTTATAAATATATATATTTATTGCACTTTAGGTTCTGGGGTACATGTGTAAAACATTCAGGATTGTTGCATAGGTACATACATGGCAATGTGGTTTGTGGCCTCCATCCCCCTGTCACCTATATCTGCCATTTCTCCCCATTATCCCTCCCCAACCTCCCTACCTGCTGCTGTCTCTCCCCTATTCCCCACCCCCCACCTGACAGACCCCAGTGTGTGATGCTCCCCTTCCTGTGTCCATGTGTTCTCATTGTTCAACACTTGCCTATGAGTGAGAACACATGGTGTTTTTCTGTTCTTGGGTCAGTTTGCTAAGAATGATGTTTGAGTTTTCACACTCATGTGTGAGATGTGCCTTCCTCAAACCTTGTTACGATGTTGGCACATTACCTGTCTAACTTGAAGCAAAAGAAAAAATTAATAAATTAAACTTAACTAAAAATAAAACATACCCACTTAATAGCCTTTTCTATAGTTAAATGCATTTAAAAACTTATATCTCTAGGAAAGAAACTTTGATGAATAAGAGACAAGTATATTTTGACACCGTGTTTTGATATATTCTCTTTCTCTCGGTTTCTCTCCCTCATTACCTCTTTCCTTTTCTCCTCCCTGTTTTCCCTTACCCAATTTATACTCTACACTGATCACGTATATATGAATTTTGAAAAATGAAAGCTTTATTCAAATGGGTTTCTCATGCAGTCTCAGGTTGTGTTTATGTACATAGGAAGAGTCAATTTGGTATTTAAGGCACGAAGGTTTGAACTTACTGTACAACATAAGTAGGCCACTTTTTGTGTGGTGTAAAGGAAGTTTTGTATATGAACTGCATGCACATATTAACGATGATCAATTATCAATATGAGAACGAATAACTTAACAAAATCAAAGTAACCTATAGATGAACACTGATATATGAAAATAAGATATTGCAATGTTTGAATTTTGATAGATATCCCTTAGGTGCAAGAAGAAAATAAGGCTACTTATATGATGGCAATTGCACTTTTTCCTCTAAGGCCTCCATTGATGGCTTTCTTATTATAAATGGAAAATGCTAAAAATACTGCAGCAGCTGTGTATGTGAAGCTTACTAATCATGGCGTTTCTCCAGGTTAAGTCATGGTAGATGACATGAATTTAGTATATTCTTACACCATCCTGCATGTCTCAAAAGAGGTAATGGCTGTTTAGCAACTATCCACTTTAAGATGAAAAAAACAACCTGAAGATTTTTTTGTGCATAATTTATTATCCTAGTATAATTTTTTTCTTACACCTTCCTTTGCTTTTTGATTGTAAATAATTACATAAAATTAATTATTGGGAGAGGAAAGGTAGGTTTGAAAATAATGTTTTGAAATCTTCCTTTTTGCCATAAAGCTTCAAAGCATTTGAATAAAACAAAAGCCTCATTAACTTTGTATTGTGAAATAGGCATTATTAACCATATCATTACGAGTCATGAATATATTTCTCCTTATCTAAAAGCAATGGCAAAACATATTCACAAAGCTTTCCATAGAACTTCTAGTCTAAGAAAAGGCTTGCTGTTGGCTGTAAAGCCTGGGAGAAAGAGGACAAACTATGACATTCATATTGCTTTTTTCTCAAGAAACATAGTCACTTATGAAGCTGATTGGTTTAGTATAATGTAAAACTAATTGTGCTCTCCTTCTCTGAATAGTGAGTAATTTATCTAGTGGCTGTTTGGGAGCTTAGAAGCTTTTAAAACAAATTCTCCTGATGATGAATGCTTTTTAAACTCTCAATCTCTCCCATTTCTGAAAAAAACACCAAAAGAGAGCTACTCGGATGGGACTGGATTGTATTGAGCCAAGCAATTACTTCTACTTGACACAGATGAAATGGATAGTATTAACTTATATGGAAAGTACATTTAATTTTAAACTTTAAGCATTCATATATTGAAAATAAAATAGTACAGCAATACATAGAATCCACCTTATTTACAGCTCTGCCCAAAAAATTGGTCTTATCACTTCTTCAGTAGCAGAAATGTTTGTTATTTTTGTTCTAATTCATATTTATAACTAATAAGAAATTAGAGAAATTTAGATAATCCATATTTTTAGGGACCATATATAAATGGAAAAAAAGGTGAAAGAAACTGTAGCTAAGACAGGTCATACAACATTTTATAGAAAAGCAAAATCATGAACAGGAATTATCTATACTTGTTGCCACTATGGATCATGTTTCTTGAGTAATTGCCCAGCCATTCACTTTTTATACCGTGAATATATTTGGTTCTCACAAATCCCTCATTATAAATGAGATACAATTCAATTCAAATTTTTAAGTAACAAAACTAATTCCTAGCACCTACTATTCATCATAAGTTAAAACTTGTCTTCTGTTAATAAACCTTTAGGAATCAAATTATATTACACTTTTAGGCTAAAATAATCATATCAAAAACCGTAATGGAATGAAAACCAAAATGAGTGGTAACTTACTGGAATAACTACCAATGGAGGAAACTATTTCATTAAGTAATTCTTGGAGGCTTAATAATCTTTATTCCTGAGTTGATGACCATTTGGGGTGTAGGAGGGTGAGTCAGAAAACACAGTGGAGAATCATCTGAGATTTCAACTTTAATATCAAGGCCTAGATGAGTAACATCTAATATGTAATTGCACAACAGGTTGACTATAGCCAATAACAATTTACCTGCAAATTTTAAAATAATTAAAAGAGTATAATTGCTTTTAACACAAAGGATAAATGCCTGAGGTGATGGATGCCCTATTTACCATAATGTGATTATTACACATTACATACCTATATCAAAATATCCCATATACATAATATATACACCTATATATGTACCCACTAAAAATTAAAAAAATAATTAAGACTTAGATGATCATGGCAGAGACCATGCAATGTCACTTAAGAGAGGTAGAAGGTTTCCAGGTTTTGATAATTGATTAGCACCTAACTGAAGTTTATTAAGTCAGCCAAAAAAAGAATGGGTTCATCTGAACGTGACTTGTTTGCCACTGAAAGTACAGAAAAGCAAGTTTTGGAGGGCCACTTGGTTTTGCCCATTCACGAACTGTTCATAGGAGAAGGAGTCCAAGTCCTGGTAGTGAACCTAGCCTGTGATGACGGATATATTCCTATTGCAGAGATGGTACATCAGCACTCTTAGAAAATTCAGTCCCAAAGCTCACTCTGTTCTGTTTCCACAGCTACTTGTCAGTATTATTTATTTCTCTGGCAATTCTGGGAAGTAACTCATCTCATGAATGCACCACAGAGTTCTGACATTTTCTTCAGGACAAAGAACAGTGTTGATTACCACTTGCTAGAAAACTGGGTTTGCCAAACGCAAGGCCCCTGTCCCGTGATGTACTGCTCTGGGCATGCAGCCTCTGCTGGGCCCTCTATCTCAAACTTGGGTCTTAGGCATCAGGGAACCTGATGTGCCTACTGCTTTTGCCATGTAGCAAAGTCTGTTGTCTCAGGAGTCTCCCGTTTTCTGTCAGCATCCCTGGGACTCTAGCTGACTAACTTATTAGCTTGGATAGCTATTTTCTGGGATCCCTTTTGCTTGCAGAAAAGCAAAGTTCTTCTGCTTTAGTTTTCCTGAATACTGCTAAGCTTATTTAAATTGGGTTAACCCTTGACATTGTCTATACTGATTCTTGGTATGTTATGACTCCACTGGCAAACTGTCTTCTGAACATGCTTACTGCTTTTTTTCCTGTCTCCACTCTACCTTTTCTTTCCTTATTTTCCTGCCCCTTCTAACTGTTCAGTTTTATAACTCAAACCCATTGTTCTGCCCAATAATTCTCACGTCTTTATCCAATTTTCCATCTGGCTCACAACAGTAATGAAATAAATATAATCAAGAAACAACAGGGTCTTTTTTTTTTTTTTTTAAATCATAGTGCATCACAAATACCCAAATCATTGGGTTTTGTTATTTCATAAAGAAATGAAAGATAAAAAGGCTAGGAAAATCATCCATTTTCTATAGTATCATAGAATTTAAGTTACTGTATTTTCATTTGATTTCTGTTATAAACCTGTGAAGTAGGTTCTTGGGCAAGAATCATCCTCTGATTATTAGTTCTTGGATCAGAGAATGAATGTTTTGCCTCCCAGCCCAGACTAGAGCTTTCGCTCATATTCTGTTCTGACCAGTTGTGGGAATGAGCATTGTAGTGAGGTAGTCTGGGCACACCACTAATTATAGCATGAATGATCTTTACCAGGATGTGAAAATACATACCTTCATAATAAGTAGGAGATAAGGGATGGAATTAGTGGGAACATACTAGGATTTTCCCATGAGCTTCTATCTGCTTTTCCCTCATTCGTAGTAGTTCTGCCTAATTTTTTTTTTTTTACTTTAGGTTCTGGGGTACATGTATAGGACATGCAGGGTTGTCGCATAGCTGCATACTACATCCGGCATTTCTCCCCATGTTATCCCTTCCCACCCCCTGCTGTCCCTCCCCTAGCCCTCCCCAACTGCCCCCAGCGTGTGATGCTCCTCTCCCTGAGTCCATGTGTTCTCATTGTTCAATATCCACTTATGAGTGAGAACATGGGGTGTTTGGTTTTCTGTTCTTGTGTCAGTTTGCTGAGATTGATGGTTTCCAGATTCATCCAAGTCCCTACAAAGGACACGAACTCATCATTTTTTATGGCTGCATGGTGTATATGTGCCACATTTTTTAAAGTTCTGTTTTGAACTAATTAAAATTCATTTTAATTAAGAACTTACTTTAGGCATTTGTTTAAAAACTGCTATGTTGTAAAACTACTTTGATTAAGTAAAAAGAACAATTAACTTTGTAGTAAAATTATTGAGTGCGAGTTACATAATTTTATTTAAAATGTATAAAAATTTAATATTCAAATAGTTTAATTATATTGCTTGGATGTTCTGTTATACATACATTAACATTTCTTTTATTTTATTCCAAACTGTACTCTGATACTTTCTGAAGATAATGATGATTGTATTTTGAGTCTTTTGGGACCACTGACAATCATATTTAACTACTTGAATTGATAAATGATAGTAGTTTTAATAGGCACATAATTTATGTTTGATCATGCATCAATTTTTGATTTTTCATACTAATTATATAGTGTCTAAAAACCACTATTTACTTCCAATGCTGGAAATGATAGTGATAATTTTAGGATAGTACTCTACATTGCCTAAGTTAATTCCAGTGCAAAAAGCCAAGTGCTGATTATGGTAAAATTATTATGAACTTTGAAATTTCACACATTTGACTGCTTTGTGCGGTTTCTTATGGGATTAATTTTAGCAGCACCATAAGTAGAATTTTTTTTTTTTTTTTTTTTTTTTTTTTTTTGACATGGAGTCTCACTCTGTCACCC